ATTCTTCTCAATGAAAGTTTAGACACCCCTAAACAAAACAATGAATTTTACATTTATTTTCTCAGTTATATCTTGTGCATGACTACAGGCCTTGCGTTCTCGCCTCCCTAGGGTTGGCAACACTGACATTTCTTTTATAGTTATTTCAATATAAAAGGGACAAAAAGTTTATGCTAAGTGTCAATTTTGTACTATCGAAGTGGGGTGCACCTCAAAACCCATCCAAAAAGCTTGTTTGGAAATCTCACCAATAGGTCATCTGATTTCAAGATGTACGATGTGAAAAAAAAAAAAAAAAAAATTTAAAGTATTAAAAATAGCATATCTTGTAACATATTATTAGGATCATATACTTTTAAGTGTTTGTATATTTGCTTGATCGGCACATTCTTTAAAGCTTTACATTTAATAATTAAGAGTGAAATAGATTTTGAGGCCATTGTCAAAGTTTTCGACACCAAAACTCTATCTTTCAACAAGATTCCAAGGTACAACTTACTTTGATTGTTTAAAGTGGGAAGTTCATAAAAACCTCACCTATATAAAAGTGCTTGTCAAAGTGCTTGTCAAAAGAAAGAAAAAAGGAACGTCAGAAAAGAAAAAATTAGAAAACCATTATTTTGCTTGGATTTCTCTTGTCAAGTAATCAAAAACATGTTCCTTATTGTTCGAGGCATGAAAACTTAAAAGGTGAGGTTTGTATATAAGGCATTAAACTAAAGAGAAAGTTTTTATGTTCCTCCTACAACATAGAAGTTTCATGTTCCCCTTTATCCAACCGTCCATTTCTTAATGGAGGGCTAAGATTGTCCCAATCACAATGTCACGTCTCTACACTGTTTTATTTTTAATTTTTTTTTAAACTGTTTTGATACCAAAATTTGGACAGTCATTCCTATATTAAACTCGCACTAACGAAAAATATAAAAAACAATATTTTCAATAAAATAAAATGACCAAAATACCCCTGAAAGCTTCATAGGGTATTTTGGTCATTATTTTTATCGAAAATTTATTGTTAATATTTTTTATAGGTGCGCCCCAATAAGAAGATGGCACGTACCAAATTTCATTTTAAAAAACATTGTATTAAAAAAATTAAAAATAAAATACTTTGAAACGTTAGATCTAAGATCAAACGGTGAGTGACTCTCTTGATAAAAAATGGATGGCTAGATGGTAAGGGGAACATAGAACTTTTATGTTGTAGGGCAAACATAAAAAGCTTTCCCTAAACTAAATAATCAAAGTAAGGCACACCTCTATACTATGCCAAAAAATTGCAGTTTTCATGTCAGGAAACCTTGCAATGGCACGGAAATCAATTGTCACTTCTAATTATGAAATTTGAATCACATAAATCTATAAATAATTGAAATTTTTGAAAATGGACAATCAAGGTAATACGCAACCAGATGTGTTGGTTTCACACTTTGAAATCCTTTCTTTTTTCTTTTTCATATAACATCTCAGGTCGATATGATCAATCAACCTCGTGATTTTCCAAAATTGAAACACCTTTTCAATAGATTTTTTAAGTGTGCTTTATTTTCAATAATATGAGGTTGACACCTTCTATAACCTTTTTCAAACTTAAGCATGAAGAGAAGCATTTAGAATAGGGAAATTTCATTTTACCGTGATAAATTTGACATTTATTGTTTTCCCTCAAAATTTGAAATTCTCACATTACCCATGATCTCATTGACAATCTTTACCAAATTACCTAAGACTAAGCTTCCCATCACTAGCGAAGAGTTCAGACTAGCAGAGAGAGAGATGGCTCAATGGCTTCATAGTGGAGCTGTCTTGAGTTGCCCTGATTGTCCTCTTTCTATGCGGGTGTACCTCATGTGTATCTATGTGTGTGGGCGTGCGCTTTCAAATTGCAAATGAACAGCTGCATTTTTCTGACGAACTCTAATGCTAGGTTAGACCCAGGAGTGCAGTAGTGGATTTCGGTGCTGTGAAAATATTGGATATCCTGCTACCATCGCATGGAGAAGCACATAATTTTTTCCAACTCTTATTTAAAAAAAGGTTGCCAAACATGTTTTTGTGCAACTTACCCTGGTTATACAAAATGTGATTTTGGATACCCTTGGATCTAAAGGACCCATGAGTTCTTATAGATTGCTTGTAATAATTTCTTCAACGGCGAGTATGCCTATAGGGGAAACGATGAGAACGCTTGGGCACGTCGCTGCAATTTTTCCTGGTGCAAGGATTGCCTTTCTTCTTTGATTTTAACTCCAGTTTGTTGTACTAAAATTTCAGAGTCAGAATGTGTAAGACCATTGAGAAAAAAAATTTTAAATCTAAAAAATAGTGTACCTTACAACACATTTATTTAAACCGTTTATTTTCAAATTTTCATGTGTTTATAGATTTACTTGATTTGAACTATTTTTGGAGTTTAAATTTATATAATTAAAAAATAAATAAATTCTCAAGCCATCCCAAGAATTTTTTACATCTAAATTATATCTTCTCATAAATTTATAGATGTGCCTTTCTTTGATTATTTAAAGTTGCAACCTTATGCAAACCACACCCTATATATAATGTCCAAGTTGGGTCGACCTGAACCTGAAACCGACCCGAATGCCACTTGAGTCCAGCCTATTGGACCTGGACCCGGACCCGGACCTGCCCCACAGGGGTCCTAGGCAAGGAGATATGAATGACTGCTATATTTGCAGCAGTGACTTTTGCGAGCGTAATACGGTCGCAAGAGAAGTATCTTGCCGTTCAAGCAGTAAAGCCTTCTCTCAAATTTCCCTTTAACCCTATTTATCCCATTGACTTTCTTTCTTGCCGAAACAAGTGAGGGACGGATATTTTAAAGGCCGGCTCTTGATCCCACAACTGTTCAGCCAACACCAGTTCTCAGTCTAGAGATACACAAATGCCCATCATTTTGGACTCGAAAAGGTTAAAATTAGACTTCTAAATTGCCCAAAGCACCGTAAGAACAACCAAATGTCATCAACTCGTCGGGGATCTTCATCTCAAAGTGTCATCGGCATACTATAGTGGGCAATTCGAGGGGAGGGGGAGAACCCTTTGACGAGGCTGCTGTACAGGTTAAAAATAGACTAGCTGAAAACCATCAAGACTAGGTGCCTTCTCATGTCCCAACTTACAAATAGCCCTACGGATCTCTAATCAAGAGAGGGTTGTGGCGAAGGGTCTCATCAAAAATACTATCACCCTCTTTAGGCCATGAGATCAAGTCGGGCCTTCTCTTGTTGTTTGTTATTTTGTGAAAGAAATTTATGTTAACCCTAGATCTTTGATACCAATACATTTATTGTTTTTATCGGGCCAAAGGGCCCTCAATTCCTCCAGACATCAAATTTCGCAATCTCCTGGAGAAGGGGTTCCTATGTCACGTGAAAGGTTATAAATATAGTTGTAACATTCGCACTAGAAAGCTAATTTAGAATTTTTTAATCATATTTATGCAGCCCTTAAGGTTTTTCCCAAACAAGCTAACCTACCCCTTTTGAGAAATAAAGGTTTTCAGCCCCTTGCCCTTGGAGCTGGTTTACGCTTCACTAAGAGGGTAACTAATTTATATGTCTAGAGGGTGACAATGTTATTAGAATCCCAATCTAGGTCTTAACAAAACAGTGGCCTGAACCACTTGCTGCGTTCAGCAAGCAAGAGATAAGAAATACTTGGTGTAAACTCAATTTCGCCTATAAGACAAGCAGTGCTGTTAGTAAGGATGCCAATTAACTCTGTTTCCAGCTTCAAGCACAAAGGAGGATCAAATCCTTGCATGTTATGACAGAATGTCGCTAAAAAGCTTTCCTCAACAACACTTCTAACATCAATGCGAAAAAACACGAAAAACATGCTGGAATGATCCCTTAATTCATGACACATGCATTGAATCCTAGCTCCCACCAAGGGTGGCAACATATGGATTGAATCGTAGCTCCCACCAAGGGTGGGAACATATGCATTGAATCGTAGCTCCCACCAAGGGTGGCAATGGACCTAAACCCGATGCAAGAACTAAGGGGTAGACCCGACCCAGCTTCAAGCATGGGTCCAAAAATTGGACCCAGCAGTTTGGTTCTGGGTCTTAATCTTGGACCCAAACACTATCCGGGTCCAAGTCTGGAAGTCTGGTAATACTTTTTGAGGCCCCAATATATGAAATATATTTAAATATAGTTAATTAAATACATAGATATTTTAATTTTTGGTCGTGTCCGAGTCCAAGTCCAAGTCCCACACTATATTTTCTGATCCGGATTTGGATCTAGTGAATCAAGTCCGGCCCGACACGACCCGTTCCCGCTGCCACCCCAAGCTCCCACGGAATGTGTCGAACCCCAAAGATGAGCTCAAGAAAGTAGCACCACAAGCCACATGGACAGCACTGGCTGCATTCATTATAATTTTCATTCATTCAAATTAGGTTTTTTCTTACTGAGTGGCAAAAATAAAAGATTGGCTTCAAATGAGGGGCTAAATGGCTAAAGGGTGTCACAACAACGGGAAGGCGTATTTGTTTGCCAGAAGATAAACGTTCCCACGAACCAAAAAGTTCTTTTTTCAGGGAAGTGGAATGTTATCTTTATGGAATGCTAAAGAAGTTCTAAGTACATCTGTTTGATAATCTAAATGTTGAAGTTTGGATACCTGTATTTGACAACTTACTCTCATGTAAGTATATTATATTATATGTTAACTATTATTGAAATATTTAATAATAGTGAATAGCGATCACCAAGTGCAGTAATCAACAAAAAAGTTCGGAGAGTTTGGGTTCTTAGGGCCCCCAATGGAACTTCAACTTTCCTATTCTAAAAGAAAAAGGGAACTTTGTGGTAATATTTAGATTCCTTTTACTATATAGCAGTTCTCGCGCAGCCAAACGTGGAACGCTATCTTTATGAACCCAAACGTTCCTGCAAATAAACATGCCCTTAAAGTAAACTATTGAAAGAAAACACAAAGCAAACACCACACAAATGCAGACATACAAAGCAAACACCACACAAATGCAGACATTTATAGAAATGCATACAGAGGTCACATGAATACATATATACATACATAACATTCGCTATTAAGGACCACGCAAATACAGACCAATATACATTTGCCTGTTATTTGATCCATGTAGATGTTCCTTCACTAAACAATAACCACTCTTCTTACTCATGCATCACACTTTTCTCGGTGAGTCTGTGTGTACTTTGAAGTGCCGATTCTCATCCTTCTTCCGCCACAAATAGACAATAGATGAAGCGATCAACAAGCCACCTGCACCTCCAAGCACAAGCCCCAAAAGAACTCCTCTACGCCTTTTGTCATTTCTTGATGAAAAACTAGCACTTGTGGAACCTGCATAAAGGAAAAACTCAAAACGAGAGAAGAGAAAACATGACATCATTAGCAATCGGATATGGTTGTGGAACTCATTGACAACCTTGTTGATAAATGCGCATCGCAGATACTAAAGGTCCATATGTTCCTTGAAATGGAATGCAGCAAGTTCCCTTTCCAGCCCAGAAAAAGTGGATCTCTAGGACATTGTTCGTTACATTTGCATCGAATGTTTTGACAATGGCTCTGTAAGCACCTTTTGCTTCAGCCTTGATGTCAAAGTCTTTCAGAACTCTCTCTCCCTGCATTTTTTTTCAATAATTTAGGAACTAACTGGGACTTTCTCAGTAACTGCATTAGCGCAAGTATGCAAGAGAGAGAGTGAGAGAGAGAGAGAGAGAGAGAGAGTCCATACCTGTATGTAGACATCAAATATGCGCCTTCCCAGCCCTTTCCAGGATACTGAATCATCCATAACTATCTCTGCAAAGTGAAGTTCTACGTAGTATTTCCCATTAATCAGGCTAGTCCCATAGTACCTCAATGAACTTTGTGAAATTCTTGCTGTCTTATATAGCTCTGACTCTAAGGTACCCATGATTTGGGAGTCGGTAGATGCAATAAACTTTGGGCCATTAGGATTGGAGATGAAGATACCTGTATTACTCACTGACCAAACCTGCTCTGTGCTTGTGTAGAAGGAGGCAGACCCAAGTGTCTCAGAGTCATCAGAATAAACAATGCCTGTAGCAGATGTCTGCTCTGGGCCTCCACAATTTACCGAAAATGATTTATCTGCATTAATAATCCACAATTTACCAAAAATGATTTATCTGCAGTAAGAAAGCTATGTAAAGACTGGAACTGATTATCCATGAAAACAAATTAACAAGAAGTCTTTTTCCCTTTCTTTAAGGTAAATAACTCCAAATCTAGAAATGTGAGGATAAATATTAAGGTAAGTAAACTTTGTGCCACATGCAGACCAAAGAGTCGCAACAGGGTGCAACTAAATGTAGGAGAGAGATGAGAGAGTACGAGCAAGAGGGAGAACAGTAGCTCTTTCAGAGATGGAACAAATGAGAGAACACAATAAACAATCCTTTCTCCTGCACAGTATCCCATATTTTTTTTTTTTTGAGAATGTACAATATCCCATCTTTTCCACAGCACAATGGCCGTCGCATAGTTACTGGAATCTCTCAACCAATGTCGCAATTCCGACTCGGAATCCCGTTTCCGTGATTCTGACAAAGAATCTTCAAGGAATCCATTTCCATAAAGTCAGGAATATCGATTCCTTATTTTAAGAATCATGATTCCAACAATTACAGAATCTTGATTCTGCAATTGTTGAATCTTGATTCTGCACTTGTTGAATCTGAACTCCACATATAATGATATTCGATTCAATTGTTTTCGAATCCATATTCCTGAACATCAAGTACGCAGTTGGTGTATGTAAGAAATCACGAATTTATCAAACACCAAATCGCTTCCACCGCCATAGAATCTAGATCTGAGTTTTTTGGAATTGTGATATCACAAAATGAAATACTAATGTTCTACGTGCACAAATATGTGACTTATGGCCTACTTCAAATATTTATGGATTTCGATTTCAGTTACTTGGAAACCAGACCGGATACGATTGTCTCCTATAGTTCATCTGTGACCCGAATAATAGATTTAGGTTTGATTCGGATCACATTTCTAATAGTGCTAGGAGTGGCTCGGATCATGTTCTAATAATGCAAGGATTGGCAGCCTTTTTTGAAAATGTAATTGGTAAAGAGTTCTACATTCAAATAGGAGTACAACTACTTTGAACTATAATAACGAAATCAAAAATCACAATTTAAATATACATGAGATAATATTTGTATCTTTTGTAGACATTTCCCTAGTGGACTACGAGTGTCTATAAATTGAACAGACTTTTGATACTATGTATGATGCTCAATAGTCAATCGACTTAAAATCTAAGGAGCCCTTCTTCAGGTCTTAGATACCTCTTATCTCAATTGCTTGATGAAGTTCTAAGTTGTTAAGACGTGAGATGTCGTTGATGTAGGAATCTTGAGTCTTCTAAGGGGGTTGGAACTCGACCCCATAGAGTTACAAATCTTGATTGCTAGGTGGGTCAAAACTTGATTTCAAACTGATATGAATCTCGATTTCAAATTGGTATGAATCCCAATTCCAAATATGTCAGAAACTCAATTCCAAAGATGTTGGACTCTCAATTCTATATATGAAGGAATCTCAATTTCATATGGGTTGATTCCAAATAGGTTGGAAACTCGATTCCAAGGAGGTCGAAATCTCGACTCCATATATGTAAAGATCTCGATTACATTTGGGTCGAGTCTCGATTCCTATAGAGTGGGAATCTCATTTCCCACAATTCTCCTTATACAAACGTTCATTTTGAAACAAGAATCTTCCAGCTAGTTGCGAATCTGTGATACCTGTTCCGAAAACGATTCAAAATCTTAGGCATTTCCAACGACCATGGGTCGTCAGCTTCATGCCTAAATAAGCCACCCTCCCCACCACAAATTTCTCACGGCAACACATTCCACCCTCTGCTTCCAAAGCTTTCCCCCATCTGCTCCAACCCTAACAAACTGAGCAGACCAACTATTCTTCTCTTACAAAGACAACTTGAAAACCCAGACCTTCAGCCCAAGCCCTACCACTTCTGAAGCACCACAACAAAGCCACAAGCTGCATACTCTATATAGTCACAGCTCCAAAATCCTTAAAGAGCATTCTCCAAAGAATGCAAAAACCAAAGCCACTCGAAAAATGAATCCCAATCCACAGCCCCTTGTTTCATACTCAAACAAACAAACATTCCATTCAAACCTTCCCCCTCTTATTAGTGATAGCACACTGCTTCGATGGTAAGCATGGTACCTCTCCGACGATTAAGAAGGGTACTGCTCTGGCGATTAAGCAGTATGTCACTCCAATAGTTAAGCAGCATTCCCCTCTAGTAGTTACGCAGCATACCACTCCGGCAGTTAAGCAGCTGATTACTCCTATGGTTACTCTAGCGGTAAAGCATCACACCACTCCAGCAATGAAGAAAGACGACAGACCAGAGCCGACAGTAAAGCAGACGCATAAACCATAGAAGAATATTTTGATGGCGGCTCATTTTACACCGACAGAGCTTCCATGGAGTTTTAAAAGACCATCTGCTGAATATGCTTCCACCCTCACTCATTCACAAAGGTCAAGAATGCACACACCCTCAGGAGGGTCGAGAAGGTTCTAAATAATTATGCAATACAGAAGATGTAGAAGGCTCAAATGCAAGGTGATGTGCCTCGTGCGGAAATGTGGATGGGATTTACTATTCGAAAGGCTCGAGGCAAGCCCAAGTCGAGGGCCAAGGTAGGCCGAAACAGAACCAACTCTGGGATGTTCGCAAGATTCCCTCAAGAACAACGGGAAATTTTCCAAAATAATCTATTCTTCCCACTATCTATTAGGGAAGATAATGAGGACCTCATTGATACTGCATCCCGCAATGTGGTACAGGCCCAGTAAGAATAGGACCAAGATGACCTATTGCCCAAGAGTTAAAGATAGGTTGGGATTGGACAACTTTTCATCCATGTCATACACGGAAGAGCATCCACCAGCAGAGAAAGAAACTAAGAAGGGAAAAAAGAAGTCAAAAAGGATAAAAAGGAAGCCGCTCGGAGAAACCAGAGGCAATTCCATTCATCCCAAACCTATGTCGCACGGAGCATAGCAAGGGCTCATAAAAAGCATATGTTAACTAATAATGAACAACTAGAGCTCCAAGAGCTGGAGGATGGCAGAGCTCAGCCCGCTTGTTCTTTCCAATCAGAATGCGACTCGGTGAAAAATTACCAGGTCGAGGAGGGACCACCCCAGTGGCCAATGTAATGATGGCTGGGGAAATAAGCGATATGCAAGCTGCACCCGGTGAGGTCAACTGCCTGAGAGCCCTTTTCCCTCAAAGGGAATTAGAATTCCTAGAACGAAATGCCGAGCTTGAAGCTTTAAAGCAAGCTCGCGTTCCTCAAACAACGTCAGAAGGTGCATCCAATCAAGTATCACCTAACCAGGGTAGGGGCATGCCACTGTCACCAGCACCACCAACAATTCCTCTGGCACCTAGGATAGTCTCACAAGCTACCGCAGCCTCAGACTGGCAATGACGCCCGAGGTCATCAGAGACTTGGTGATGGATAGCTTCACTTGCCAGGGATGCGCCCTTGGACACATATCAAATGCCATGCCTCTCGTATAGATGAAATCCCCTTTCCCCCAAGGTATCAGAGACCTAAGTTTCCCAAATTTGATGGCCATGGGTCTCGTCATCAACATATAGTGCATTTCATAGCAGTTTGCGTTGATACAACCAATAATGACCACCTTCTCATGCATCAATTCGTCCAGTCGCTTTCTGGACCTGCATTCACGTGGTAATCATGATTGCAACTGGGTTTGAAACTTCCATGGCGAAAGATGCAGGAGGTTTTCTGAAACGTTTCCATAGCGGGGAACGTGATGTATACTTGTCTGAACTCTTGAAAACAAAACGAAAAGTACATGAACCAATACAGCAGTACATTGCTCATGGAGGAACCTCAGAGTATGATAGTCGACTCCGCTGCCCGAACAACAGGAAGTTCACATGTGCATAAAAAACGTATCCCGACATCGTACAATCTCTACGCCTCAAATCTGCTAACATTCAGCGAGCTTGTATATAAATGCAGTATCCTCGAGAGCTTAATGGAGGGGTTAGGGTATACACCTAAACCCTTAACCTTTACGAGAGATGGCGAGAAGGGAAAGTCTAAGGGTAGTCAATCCAAATAGGCCATGACCACCACAATTGTGACCAAAAACAATAAGGGAAAGAACTACCCACCTGCAAAGGGTTTGGGTATTCAAAGCAAAGTACCCAATCTGCCCCTCAGGCAGATAGGACACCTGGGAATCCACAATGTGTGTTGCTGAAAGAAAGGCTCAATAAGGAATATTCCTTTGATAAAAGAGGATGTCCCAGAGATCTTGGAAAAACTCACCTCAGATATGATGGAGTTGCCACCACCCAGGCACCCTGACCAAGGAGGGCGCAAGGATCAGTCCAATTACTATATCTTTCATAGGGTGCATGGGCATGTCACCGAAAATTGTTTTTCCCTTAAAGATGCCATCAAAGAGCTCATAAAGTAGAGGAGGCTCAAGCTTGGGCCACAACCTACCCCAGATGCTGGCAATGCATCTGCTAACCCAATGTTTACGACAAGTGAAGAACCAACTCTCCAGTCGTCAAATGGGAGGTCAATTTATGAAATCGGCTTTAGGCTCACCTGTGATGATATATTTTATATATATCAAGAAACTGTCACAGGCGGTCTTATTATCCCACCAAGGCAACGTAGGGCCCCAGCAACAAGCAACGCCCAAGAAAGGGATACTGTTCTTGTGATAGGGGCCTAGATTATGTTGCAGCGCCCAAGAAAGGGATATTGTTCTTATCATAGGGCCCTAGCTCATGATCTATTTCACTGTTGGGTGGCTAGAGCCAGAATATGGCAAGGGCCATCTGAGGTCCCTATATTGCAAAAGGTTAAGGGATGCCCTTACCCCGAGATATTCAAATTATGCTCTGAATACTTGGAGATCCTCAATTCTTCAGTAACCACCAATGATATATCTGAAGGTGGATGGACCACATACATAAGCAAGAAGGAAAAGATGCGCATGCAACAGGAGGGATTGGAAAGGGCAGGCTTGCC